TTGACCATACATCATAATAATAGTTTCCCCCTTTTTTCTGGCAACAAAACTGAGAATTTTTTTCGAGGATTCATGTAACTGCATTAACCACAATACTGTCAAAATGCAAACAAAAGACACACCCATGATAATATATTGGCATTGTCCTTGAAACTGATTGGTCCACACCAAGGGACGGCTTTCTTTTGAGCCTCGACTCTAATTAGCACACAGAGTTGGTGTACGGTGTTTTTTCTGCAATATTTTGCTGTCTTTTCTAGGATTTTCTGTTTGCACTTAGTCACATATTCACTTTAAGATGTTTTTTGTTCATGTTTTTGTTTTTTGTTTGTTGCGGTTGCACCCGATTCAAGAGCCGAATGGCTCACAGGGCTATACCTAATACATGAACTTGAAATAAATGAAACTTGACCCAATTGGTGCTCGACCAGCGGACGCCCAAACGTACCAAGGTTTCAATTTTGTTGCCAGAAAAAAAGGGGGAAAACTCCTATTATTATATGTTGGTACTGGCAAAGGAGGTCTAATGATGACCATACATCGTCGTCACCATCACGCTGGTCAGTGACAGTTCATGGAGAGGCTTTAGCTGCGGGACCGGTTGAGTTCTTGTAACTTGCCACTGACGTTAGCCGTGGACGGGGAACTGAACTCCCGTTTGTCAGCCTCACGGGGGGGGGGCCCATTGCGCTCACCGCTGCGGCGACGTTTGAGAAACGCGCCTAGCGGAGGGCGCGGTGGGCTGACCGCTGCGCGCGTCTAGAGGGTGGTGGTCCAGATGTCTCGTGACCCCCCCCCCCCCCTAATTAACTGACCCCCAAACATGTTTTTTGTTTCTAGATTTGAAGCTTTCGTGACTGCAAGTATTCATATTCAGTTCAGTAAATATTCAGTAAAGTCACCTACGTGACTTTACCGAAAAAACCTAAGAATATGTTTTTTGTTTGTTTCCGTTGCATATTAATTAATGTTTTAAGTAAACCTTTTAATACAAAAAATATTACGTTTGACAGAATTCAATGGCGGGTCACAAGACATCCGGACCGTGGTTGTTGTTGTTGTTGTTTGACTTGCATCCCACTGGGATTTTTGCACACAGCGTTCATATACGGTGCTTTTTATGGAAGACTTTGCTGTTTTTTTCCTGGATTTTTCTGTTGCGTGTCGTCACTTTAAAATGTTTCTTCACGTTTTGTTTGTTGCGGTTGAAGCCGATTCAAGAGCCGCACAGGGCTACACCTAATAACTGAACTGAACCATCCTTTATAAAGGATTGTTGACATGGAGTTACATCATCGTACGCGTGGTGTAACTGAAAATTTCAACACATTTGTCTATAGAACTGCCTTAAAAGAGAGAAAAAAATATGTAAAAGGCGACGTTTCGGGACATGGACCTTCATAGCACACCAATGAGGTCACGATTTTTGTGCTGATGAAGGGCAATTTCCCGAAAAGTCGCTTATATATATTTCACATGTAAGTTTATTTGATTTTATAATACAGGTTTTCTTTTGGGTTAGATCGAGTAAGTATAAATGTGTCGTTAAACCCGCCACCACAGCTAATTAGTAAGGTTTGTCACGTAAACAGAACGTGCCAATTCCTTATTAGTACAGCACACCGCTGTGTTGGAGAGCAAATCCACACTGTTTACAACACACCGGTGTGCTGTACTAGTAACTAATTGGCATGTTCTGTTCATGTGACAAACCTTACTAATTGGCTGTGTCGGGTGGTGGCGGGTTTAACGACATTTATATTTATGCGATCTAACCCCAAAAAAAACCTGTATTTTGGATGATACTGGTCGCGAAAGTCGCCTACGTGTTAAACTTTATTTGATTTGTTACAACGCATGGCCCCCGTTAGATGCCCGGCTATTTTACACGGGAGATCCAGTGCTCGCTATCCCATTCACCGCAACCTCACCAGCCAACGAATTCGACTTTTAACTTTTTGTTCCGACTTCTGCCTTCGCCGCTCGCAGCACTAAGACCGGGGGGGCCATGTCGTACGCCCTGTGCCGCTGGCGGGCGCTGGCAGCGCGGGCTAGCACACAGCGGCCCCTTCAAGCTGCCCACGACAACAGGGGCCTCCTCCTAGGCGTCCCCGCTGCCGGGGGAGGTTCCTCCTCGCCACGGCCCCCGCCCGGGGCCTGCGATGCCGTCGGCGGCCGCGCGTCCGTCATGCCGGCGTGGCAGCTGCAGTCGCACGGCGGGCTCGACGCGCTCCGCTACAACGCCAACACTCCCTTCCCCATCATCGTCTAACCCCAGGACGAGGTGGTGGTGAGGTGCACGCGTCGAGCCTCAACCCCCATCGACGCCGCCATGTCGCGTACGTACGTTTGTGCGCGCGCGTGTTTGTCGGAAGCGCTCGCTTGGGTGCGAGAGGGTGGTGCGTGCGTGAGTTGGGCGTACGAAACCCGGCAACCCGAGGAAAATTGTCGCTCACTGCCAAACACCGGTGACGATTATCTTAACCGGTCCTGAGCCTCCTCCGCCTAGGTCGACTCGGCCTCAAATGAGTACCAGGTGAGAGATGTGTAAACATCTTCACTAGGGAGACAAAGCGGCCGGGCAGCGGTGCTGGCCCACCCACCACTCGTTGCCGTGCCGACCTACATAGGTGCTACTCACGAACACCACTTGCCCCAATAGTCTGTTAACGCTACACGGGGGGGTTCTTTGTGCGTGAGGCCACATGTACCTGGCCTGGTACAAGCGCCGTTGAGTAATGTCACTGCCACTTAGCGGCGAACAGCGGCCTTTGTTGTCGCTGTTGTCGTTGTTGTGCGAGTCGCCGCGTGGACAAGGCTGCGTGGTGACCTCTCGACCCCATTGCCCCTTGCAGGCGGATACGGCGCCGCGCGTGCTGAACACGATGCGCGACCCCCTGCGCATGAATCCGCGTGACAGCGAGCTGCCCCTCGGCTGGGCAGGGACTGCTCTGGGGTCATCATGGATGTGCGGAGTTTCTGTCAAGCACTTCCGCCCGGGCGACGAGGTCACTCGCACACACAAACACACACCCGCAAACTCACCCACCACCTACTCACCCACTCACCTACTCACCCACTCACCTACTCACCCATTCACATACTCACCCAATACCAATATTCACTATTCGCCATTAAGTGGTGGTGACATCACCCCGGCACCTGTGTCAGGCCAGGTGCACATTGAGGCCACGTGAAGTGTCGAAGGCTCACTGACAGGAGGTCACGGGACAGACCCAGGTGCCATGGGTTTACTGACTGAGATGCCTGGCAGATGCACCAGCTGTGTCCCTTACTCTGCCACCGACCCACTCACTCATTCACCAACTCACACACGCACCCACTCATCCAC